ATGTTCAGTACTCTTCTCCAGCACCACAGCTCAAAGGCATCAATTCTCCTTCTATCCTCCTTGGTCTGCTTTTCCTAAATATGTAAATTAACCACTCATATGACAATATTACATGCAAATAAAATTTACAAGTTCTCACAAATCACAGAAAGATCTGGCCCATCTCTCTTCATAGTAATTGTCTTAGGCTGAAAGGTAAAATCAATGAGGTGTTTTATAAAGTGCTAAAGAACAATGATGTCAGTCTAGAGACTAAGGCACACCTGATCCAAGCCATGATCTTCTCAATTACTTGCTATACATCTGAGAGCTCGATGATGATTTAGCACGACAGGAAAAGAATTGATACCTTTGAGTTGTGATGCTGGAGAAGAGTCTTGAACATACCATGGACTGCCAAGAAAACAAATAGGCCTTTCTTGGAGAGAGTGAAACCAAGTTTCTCCTTGGAGGCAAAGATTCTGAAGCTCCATCTCACGTAATTTGGGCACATTGCCAGGAGGGACGAGTCCTTGGAGAAGGACACCACGCTTGGAAGGGTGGAGGGACAACGCAGGAGAAAAAGACCCTGGAGGAGATGGATTGACACGGTAACTAGGTTAATAGGGACAGGTGTGTCAGAAACCATGAGGTTGGCAAGGTTCAGAGCTGTTTTACATAGAATAGCTGAGTCCCAAGAGACTCAAAGGCAGATAAAAACAACATATCTATACATAAGTATCTATACAGAGGTAAATAAACTCACTACCTTCTAGTTGATTCTGACTCATAATGACCCTCTATTGGACTTCTGAGGCTGTAAATCTCACTGGGAGGAGACTGCACAGCTTTACAGCCTTCTCCCAAGGAGTAACTGGTGAATTTGAATCTATAGGCTACACTACTAGAGATTTGATTTTTTTTTTAAACACGAGAGATAATATGTGTGCATCAGAGAGAGAGATCATGAGAGAATATTTCCTTTATGTCAAGGAAATGGTCCATGTGTTTGTAGAGGTGGTAACCCCTAAATCTCTGTATTGGCCATCATGTTAGAGATTTCTCCTGACTCATGGAACTGGGAAAACCCAGATGTGGAAGTCAGATGACAAACAGCTGGCTTCTGAGGAAGAGAAATCCAAGACTGGAAGTCAGTATGGCAGGCCACTAGTTCAATTTAAAGAATCATGTGTCAGATGGTGATGAACTACATGCAAGAAAGATCTCGATGGAGTAAAAAAAAAAAACAACAAAAAACCAAAAACATTTGTAAGAATGCCTTTACTTATTTGATACAGGCCACCCTTGGAACGAACTCCTTTTGCACTGATTGGCTGCTTATAGCAGAAATCATCCTGGAACTTGCTATATTCTGAGATTTCAATGAAGGAATAGTTGTCTTATGTTAGATCTCACCAGTGGAATGGCTCCATGACAACTCCCACTCCAGAGAACCCTGCGCAGTGCTCCGCAGCTCCTGACACTCACCCTCTCTCCCGTGCAGGATTGGCATTTTCTTCAGCCCTCTGCTGCCCTTCATCCAAATGATCACTCTTTTCATCACTTTTTACGTCAAAAATGTGAGTCCTGCCCCAGTTGGCACCAAGCAGCTGCACACAGCCGTGGGGTGGAGAGTGGGGTCTGAGAGGAACGCGTGGGGGTCGAGGGCCGGAGACAGCGGGTGGGAGCCACACTCTTCTCTCGCTTCAGATCAGCCTGATGATGAACTTCCAGCCACCCCGCAAGGCCTGGCGGGCCTCGCAGATGATGACCTTCTTCATCTTCCTGCTCTTCTTTCCCTCCTTCACTGGGGTCCTGTGCACGCTGGCCATCACCATCTGGAGGTAGGGGCTGCGGCTTTGGGGTGAGGTTTTAACACAGGTGGGTAACTTGTCCCTCAATCCAGAACCAGGAGCCGCATCGCTGTGGTCCTAAGCTTCCTGGAACGGGGAGAAGCCAGCTCCCACGCACACAACCCAAGTTCACGCAAAACCCCTCTCCGCCCTGGATCACTTTTGTCTTCTCCAACCCTCCCTCCCTCTGGCTCCTCCAGCCCCACTGCTCTTGGGCCATTCTGGGGTCTTCCCACATGAGGGCCTCTCCCTGGATGTCCTCCCCGCCCTCGTGCACGGCTGCCTTCTTATCACTCAGTGGTTCAACTCAAAAGTCATCCCTAGAGCAGCCCTTCCAGTCTGCAGTCCCACCCCAACCGTCTCTCTCAGGGTCAGCTTCCTGTCTTCATTCCATTGTCTGCAGTCAGAGTGTGTTGACTCCTTGGCTGAGATGTCATTCTTTGGATTCACAAACGATTCCTAAACAAAGTAATTGTTGTCTCTCTCAGGGTCAGCTTCCTGTCTTCATTCCATTGTCTGCAGTCAGAGTGTGTTGACTCCTTGGCTGAGATGTCATTCTTTGGATTCACAAACGATTCCTAAACAAAGTAATTGTTGATGTTGTTGTTGTGTACCGGCGAGTGGGCACCAATTCCTAGCTGACCTGCCGGCAGGTTTTCAGAAACAGTAAATTACATGGGAGAAGATTCTTCGTCCATGGAGCAGTTGGTGTTTTCCTAGTTGTTGGTTTTGTTCAACGCTGTAGTGTTTTAACAACAATATTATGGTCATCTGGTTGCATAGTCCATAGGGAGTTGCACTGCTGACCCAGAGGTGGCCCCTCTCTGCCAGTTCAAATCCACTGGAGAAAGATGAGCGATCCTCTGCTGTGCCGTTGATAGTCTCCAAAAACCCCTTTGGAGAATCTGCTATGAGTGGGTTCGATGTATCTGCAACAAGATGAAAATTGTATGGCATATTTGCAAACCTATATCAATAATTTCTTTTTAGAATTAAGTACTAACTAAAAGGAAAAGAAGGAGAAAAAGTTTAAAAGGTTTCTGCTGAATTACTAATACTATTATGACTAGCAATTTTGTCGTTCGATGCCATAAGATTTTACAAAACAATTTTGTTTATGCTCATATAAACGCATCCTGCAGCAATTTCTAACACTATCATCACATATTATTCTGTGATTAAGTTTTAAAATAAGTATAGCTAAGGAGTCTATGTAGGGAGCTCTGTTGACGTAGTGGCAAGAAGCTAAGCTGCAATCCTGAAGGCATGTGGTTCAAATCCACCAGCTGGTCTGTGGGAGAAGGAGGGGCAATCTCCTCCCGTGCGATTAACTGCCTGTGAAAACCCACTGGAGGGTCAACTATGGGTCGGTTCTGACTTGATGGTACACAACAACAACAAGTCTATGTAGTCCAGCATGGGAGAAAAGCCATGGGGAGTAGGAGGGAGGGGACAACACGAGTTATTGCACTCAGTGACACCAACCTTCATGTCACCTTGGAACAGGCAACAATTGTCATTTCCAGGCCAGGAGCCCAGTAAGGACACCCTAACTGTAGAATGAACAAAGCCTGAGCCACTTGCCAGAAATGTGTTTCTGTCCTGTATTTTCCCACAGACTGAAGCCTTCGGCTGACTGTGGCCCCTTTCGAGGTCTGCCTTTGTTCATTCACGTCATCTACAACTGGATTGATAGCTTGAACAGCAGGCCCGGTTACTTGTGGGTTGTGTGGATCTACCAGAACCTCATTGGAAGTGTCCACTTCTTCTTCATCCTCACCCTCATTGTGTTGTAAGTGGGATGTGTCGTGTTACTTGTTTAAGGAAGGCAGAAGCAACTGGGTGAAGACGCTTGAGTGATGTCAGATGTGGAGAGCACTTGGGGTGGCTGGTGGGCAAGTGGAAAGTTCTGGCAGAGTTTAATGCTTGATGGTACTCTGCCCTTGAATGTGTGGACCATTGTTATTTAAAATCTTTTTGGTCTAGTTCCTTGGTCTGCTTGGTCTAGATCCTATTCTATACTATCTTTTTAAAAAATTTATCATTTTTTATGTGTGTACCATCAAATCAAGTCTGACTGGTACAGGAGAAGATTGTCCCTCCTCCAGCAGAGCATCTGATGGATTCGAACAGTGTACCTCTGGGATTGCAGTGCAGCCTCTTGTCACTAGGCCACCAGAGCTCCCACTATACTATCTTTTAAAAGAGATTAATTATGTGACTATAAGATGAAAATAATATATGCGGCTCTGAGATTGTTAGTTGTTCTTCTGTCTTAGACATTCAAAAGGTCCAGTCATTACTGATATGTAAGGTACGGTATTTACCTTTGAATTTCAGTCAGCCATAACACCACTGACAGATGACAGTTCTCTGGGGGAAGTCAGAAACTTGCCATCAATGCATCAATTATAAGCTGCATTTTAAATATCTCATAGCATAATTTATAAAACTCATGATTTATTCCTTGAAAATACCTTTCATGTATAATATAAATAGTGATTATATGCGTGGACCTCACTGGATGGGAACTATATCTGTGAAAAGAGACAATGGGGAAGTTCAATATCATCAGCTAGAAAAAAGGCCAGAGGCCAAATGCAGAACAGACTATAAATTATACATAGGCAAGTTCTAGTTGAAGCTGAAGAAAGTTAATACAAGTCCACAAGAGTCCAAATATGATTTTAAGTATATCCCATGAGGATTTAGGCACCTTTTTAAGAACAAATTTGACGCATTGAACATTAATGATAGAAGACTAAAGGAGTTGTGGGATGACATCAAGGACATAATACATAGAAAAAATCAGTGGTTATTATATAGAGAGAAAAGTCCAAAGTGGAAATCAGAAGAGACTGAAATTAGCTCTTGAATGGAAACCAGCTAAAACAAATGGGAGAAGATTTCAAAGGAGAAGGAAAAAAATAAAAATAAAAATGAGGCAAGAAGATAAAAGAAAGCATTATTAGAAATCTGCAGAGACCTGAAGTTAGAAAACCAAAAGGGAAGAACATGCCAAACATTTTTTAAGAAGTGGGGGTGGGGGGGTTGGCCTTGAGCAATATTCAAAGATTGTGTAGGCAAAATATTGAATGATGCAGGTAGCATCAAAATAAGGTAGAAGAAATATACAGAGTTACTGTACCAAAAAGAACTGATCAGCTTTCAAGCATTCAGGAGGCAGTATATGATCAACAGGTGATGATAGTAAGGGAAGAAGTCCAAGCTACACTGAAGGCAAGGGGAAAAATAAGACCCCAGGAATTGAGGGGATTTCAAGTTAATTTTTTTAACAAGCAGATACAACACAGAGTTGCTCATTCATCAATGCTAAGAAATTTGGAATTCAGCTACCTGGCCAAGCAACTAGACGAGAGACGTACCCATACACAGTCCAAAGAAAGGTGATTTAGCAGAACCAATGTGGAAATTATCGTTAATAAAGTGGCCTAGTGGTAAGAATCTGCACTGCGACCTCAAAGGAACGTAGTTCAAATCCACCAGCTACTCTGCGGGAGAAGGATGGGCAATCTCCTCCCATGTGATTAACTGCCTCTGAAAACCCACTGAAAAGTCAGCTATGGGTCACTTCTGACTCCACGGTGTACAACAATAGAATGTGCAGGTAAAATTTTGCCAAAGATAATGTTAAAATTATTGCAACTTTCTAGATGCACCATGCTGCCTTCCACAGTGGTTAACAATATGCAATGCCTGAAACCTATTTGAGGGATTGTCTAACAATGAAAGAA